GAACCTTTAATTTTAACTAAAGTATTATCTCAAATACTCATGGTACATTAAACATCAAAATCAAGCAAAAAACTTCTCACAAGTGATATCTTAGACAACCAACGACCTACACGGTGTTTTCAATTGCTCCTATGTTAACCAATAAACATGAATTCCTTGAACGCCGCACCCAAAAGAATTCCTTGTCCGTTCAATTACCATAGCTTAAGCCCTCTAGATGTACTCTAATTATAAAATAAATCAGAGTGTAGAAACGGTGTACGCACCATAGGGATTTCAATAGTAATTTCTTCATATTGAAATATTTTCTGCCCTAATTATTATTCAATAAATTTTGCGCTAGTTAAAGTTGCACAAAGTTGTTCCTGGACAGTAATAGCACTCCAACGAGTCATTATCTTCAAAATTTTCCCCAGAGTCTTCAATCGCAAGGCGATTTAAAAGCAATAGCCGTTTATCAACCCTCAATCAAACATCTAATAATTATAAGCAATTTCTTCCATCGTATAGCAAAACCGAGTCTGACCTGCGGTATCTAATGATAACATTTAACAATGATAGGTAAAATTAGGTAGGGGTAACTAGGATAGTTATTTCAAGAAAGAAGTCAGCTAGGTGTGGTCAGTGGCACGAATTGGTAAAAAAGGTTTGATTAAAAAAAGTTTAATTAAGCTAACATTAAATAGATAATCTGTAAAGGAATGGATTTGGATTGAGCTTGATTGCATTAATATATTTGAGTTACGTTGAAATTGTTATTGTTTATTAACCAGGAAGGTGAAACAACCAAACCAAAATCAAAATTAGAATGGGAGAGAAGTCATTTCTCCACTACTTTTCTTGCAATAATTAACATACGTTCATTTTATACTAGCCGGGAATTATTTTAAATTTTCATTGACAAAATTCAGGTAAGAAAGTGGAAGTTAAAGTAAGTAAAAAAGGTTTCAACCCCATAAAGTAGGAGGCCCAGTAAATACTGTTCCAGATTCCTGTGTTTTGGAAATACGTTGAACTTACAGAAACCCCGTCACCGGCCCAAATAGGTACCTATGCAACTCCCAACCCACTCCCAATACGCTACGACAATCGGGAGAAATTTGCTGTTCTTTTTAACCAATTAAAACTATGACTAAATATTGTTGAAAAACTGCTTGGATTACCTACATTTACAGTCATTTAATACAAGTGGAACAATTCAACAAATAAACTTTTAGATGCGTTAAACCGCTGTCGAGTAAATCCCATTAGAGAACATAATGGCGATTTTACCGATATGAATAAAATCTACTGTGGCAATATGCAGAGATTAGAAATGTCCAAATTAATATTAATGATTTTACGATTGACATAATTCATTGTTGCACTTGTAGAATAAATTTCAATTACGCCCGTGGAATTTAATAACGCGCCCGTTATTGTTTCCCTTTGTAATTATTACATTTTATTTTTTAATGCTTCACGCTCTCTAAATATTAATTCGTACCTTTGAGTAAATAATAACACAAAGCGAAATTAGCTCCAACGTGAGATGAATATTTATACAAATATTTGTCATGTTCTTAAGGTAAGTAAAACGTTTTATGGTCCATTAAGGAATCGGAGTTGGTTCCAAGGCGGTGTATAACAAATTACAGACTATATACCTAACGAGAAAAAAACGATTGTCATGGTTTCAAGTTCGTATTAAAATTTTAGTGTGATATATTCGCAAGGTACTATAGATCCGAATGTAGCCACATGTGATCTGAATCGTTTAGATTTCGAAAAAGTCGATTACTTAGTCTTTATGTAGTTCACTGACTAGTTTTAAAGTTTGAGTTATGGTTAATTTGTTGAACTATCTATACAAGAAACACAGTTTCCTTTCATACTCATTGCACTACCCTGAATATGAATTGTTCATATACATATCGCACATTAAGTACAATAATTTAGCTCAGCTCCTCGTTGCTTTATGTCTCCCGTGAGAATATGTAAGTGGTATTTGAATAATACACATTGGTTATGAGGAACTATTTTCTAGATTAGGTTTTTGTGACATACGAGACGTAAGAATGACTTGTTTCTCAACTAATGAGCATAACCTATCTCTTTTATTGTAGATTGTAACATAACGGCGCCCTCATGTCGCCTAAAACATAAAACGAGTTACCGATACAGTTAGCGTGCCATTGCTGGTGTTAGGCACTACACTTTGGTTAGTTACTTGCTGTAAAGTTTCAATTTTACACGGCCAATAATTGTATTAACACGTTT